CCTCCCAGCGCGGGGCAGGCGACCGTGGCCGCTCCGTCGTGGTCCGGCCGGCGGGGGCATCCCCAAGCCCAGGAGGCATCTCCCCTCCCCTGGCCTGGGGCCAGCCCCAGGGCATCCTGAGCAGCCCCGGGTTGGAGAGGCTTTGGGGCTTTTCTAAACTGGTTTGTCTGGTTTCGACTTATCCCTTGTCTTTCTGTCACCCGCCTCCTCTGGCTTGCAAAAATGCACTTTATTTTATTTGTTTAGTCCTACCTGGTACAAGGTGCGTGCTGTGAAGCCCGGGTGCACCAGCGACCGGTCCGAGCGATGCCGGGGCTCGCAGCCCGGTGCCGTGTGGCGAGGAGCGTGGTGCCGGTGCCGGTTATCCGGACGCCTTGGCTCCCGGGTGTGATTCTGCCCAGGTAGCACATCAGGCTGCAACCACCAGCGCAGTGTTTCCTGCTTGGCACAAAACCAGCTGCTGCAACAACCACGTTCCCACCCTGGTCAGTCTGGGGCAATCTCTTATGAGTCACTTTTTTTTTTTTTTTTTTTTTTTTTTTGCAAAAATAGCTATAAGATGGTCCCTCAGCTCTGCATGGGTTGTAGCAAAGCTGTAGGGGAACAGAGGTGCTGCTGAAGCACAAGTCCTGGCGTGGTGGTGAGCAAGGGCCAGGGCTTGTCCCAGGGAGGCTCCCCATGACCGCCCTGGCACTGCTGGAGGACGTGCGCAGCGTGCCAGGGGGGCAGAGCTGGCAGAGCCTGGACTTGCCCAGGAATTCCAGATGAAAAGGGTCGGAGAGCTGCCTCTGCCAAGGAGCTGATGCCAAGGGGCAGCCTCGTGCTCTGCCGGGGTCTGGACCCGCTGTGGACGAGGATGGTTCTGCAGGAGCCTGGCAAGGAGCCGTGCCGGTGCGTCCCAGCTTCCGCAGGCCGTGTTCCACCTCTCCTTCAAATGGCCCTGGAGCATCAGAGATCAAGAAGTTTTGTCTGACGCTAATGCATAAATTTCAGCCCTGGTTGACCTTCCCCTGTAATTTAGAGAGAAGACAGTGTCCTTTGAGAATGGTTTTGATTGTTTTTGTTAGCCCTGGCATCCTGGCATCCCTCCCCAAAGTAGATGGAAAGGGCAGAGGTTTGTGGGCGAGCATGGGTTCAGTTACCTTGGGTTTTCTGGGTGGCTGCAGGTGCTAACGGGGGATTCCCCAGGGGATGGGATGGGTTCTAGCGTGGTGCTGTGTGGAGGATGCTCAGGGAGGCTGAGGCTTCGCACGGAGGTGATGGCTCAGCCTGGCAAAGGGACCCGGGAGCTGCTGGATGCCAGCAAAGGTGCTGGAGGGCAGGGTTATGGAGGGCAGGGTTATGGAGGGTAGGGCTGTGGAGGGTATGGTTATGGAGGGTAGAGTTATGGAGGGCAGGGTTATGGAGGGTAGGGCTGTGGAGGGTATGGTTATGGAGGGTAGAGTTATGGAGGGTAGAGTTATGGAGGGTAGGGCTATGGAGGGTAGGGTTATGGTGGGTAGAGTTACGAGGGGTAGAGTTACGAAGGGTAGATTTACAAAGGGTAGAGTTATGGAGGGTAGAGTTATGGAGGGTAGGGTTATGGAGGTAGGGCTATGGAGGGTAGGGTTATGGAGGGTAGGGTTATGGAGGGTAGGGCTATGTGGTGTGGCTTCCTGGGCAAGGTGAGCACCACCCACCTTGGAAAATAAAGGCGACTTAGCTGCCATCAAACATGTCCAGATACCTAATCTCAATTCTTTTTGCCGTTTGGCAGTTCAGGGCATGAGGGATGGGCTGGGGGTTTGCTGTTAGGGTGTGGGACGGGAGCTGGGCTCACACGCTTTGTTCGGGCAGGGCTTGGCAGTCTCTGCCACGGCTCAGCCCCCTCCCATGGCTCAGCCCGCTGACCCACCGCATCCTGCCCCCCTTAATTAATGTACCGAGAGCTTTGAGGCCCTCAGATGGAAGTTTATAAATTGGTGCTCTGGGCTATGAATTATGAATGGAGTCACATCCCTGATTGCTGCAGTGCTACGTCGACAGTCCTGAAGCTGCTGATCTGAGCGACAGCCCAAAGGTTTTAAGATGTGAACAGCAAAACCTGGGAATAATTTGCTTTGCCAGCTACAAACCTCTTGGCCTACAGATGGGGCTCATCATATTCCCTCTCCTGCCTCCTCCTGTCACCTTCTCCTCTTGTTTTCCAGTGTTGCCTTCTCTACTTTCCATCCAGGTTTGTCTTCATGTCCTGCTTGGCTGTGTTGACCATCCCATGGGAGCTGCATCCGCCACAGCGTGTTCCTCCCCCAAGGTTGCTGGCGCCAAGTGGGGACATCTGCCACAGCACTGGTCCCAGATGGATCCTGCTGGTCCCCTGGCCATCCCCACCCGGGTGCAGGTCCCCATGCCATCCCCATGGCCGATGTTGTGCTCCTCACACAGGGCTCAGCGGGTTTTTGGCCGATGTCTGCAGCTTCATCTCCCTTTGGCCCTAACCTTGTGCTGCAGATGTTGTGTTTCACAGCTCCATCTCTGCCATCGGTCTTTGGGTGTTTGTCCTTGAACCTCTCCACCTCTGGAGGCCAAATCCTGCCCTAAGCAGCCGTATGTGCTTAATCCTGTAAGCCCAGATATTTCTGGGGTTTATTGCCTTCTGGATTTGCCTGAATTCCTGCATTCTTACCTCCGGGAGCAGCTCCCTCCCGGTGCCCGATGGCCGGCAGCAGAGCTGCTCCCCGCAGGGGCTGCGCTGCCTGCTCTGGCCCACCGGCAGCCTGAGCAGAGCTAAATTTAAAAAATGAGTTTTAGAAACTTCCCGGTTCTTACAAATGATAGCAAGGCCCGGCACATTCCCCCTGCCCCCCAAAAGCTGAGCACCCCGCAGTGCTCGGGAGGGAGGGCGAGAGCCCGTGGCGAGCCGGGAGGGAGCAGCGCTGCTCCCTGGGGATGGCAGCGCCGTGGGAAACCCTCCCAGCCCCAGCCATGGGTGTGGGAAAGGGGAGCTCCTTCTTTCCAGTCCTTTCCAGTTGAGCCATCGTGAGCCAGGCAGCAAAAAAATACAACTTCACAGGCAAAGTCTCGGCGTCTGGATAAGCCATTCTGTCCTGGGCCGGGGCGCAGGAGGGCTCCGGCAGGTCCTGACTGCATCTTGTGTCTCTCGCACAGGGGATGCTGAAGCCTGCGAGCTGAAGGACGGACAGACGGTCGCCGGCAGAGCCACGGCAGTTCTTTATCCGCCTGACGCACGGGCGGCCAGTGCTTTAGCGAGA